CTTTTCCGCGTATAAAGCAAATCTTTCGATAGTTGTATCTTTTTCATCGTAGCTCCGATTAGCGTGCTCTTCGCGTCTGTGTGTCCGTAGCGAGACGTAGATTCGTTTCACAAACTTTTCATCTTGATTTTATGTTTGGTGTTTTGTTCTAATTTAGATCTATTATTTGCTTCGTGTATGATTGTATGGATGCTTGTGTGATGCTTTATGATCTTGTCCAGTCGGTGAGTTATATGTGGTGAATCAAGAAGCAGATCTTTGAAGTTTTGGAGTTGAAGAAGGATCTGAGTATAAGGCAAGTATAGCATGGGATCTTCCTTATTGTCCAATACACCTTTAATCATTTAATTCATGCTGCATGTGTCTACCTTGACTGTCACTAAGGATTTTCTAGTACTTTGTTACCTTGTACCTTAATACCAATGGGGTATTGCATTGGTTAGTATGATGCTAGTGCTCAACTACAACCATGATCTTATAACTTGACTAATGGAATATGCAATAAACATTAAAAGATGCTTTTTAGCAACATGGAATCAAGGGGGCTAGAGCATTGGGCCATTTTATGGTGCTCTAGATTCCTCTCCATAAGGACTTATCTGTAAGTGATCATCTGGGACTTACAGTACAACCGTGAGGGCTATATGGCTCTGGCTTTAGCTCAGTATGAGGACCTTTTCTAGCTTGCTAGTGGTTACCTTTATTGGCGTAAGAATGGCTTGACGAATTGGGTATAGGACAGCATCTACTCTTATGTGTATAGCCGTGAGGGAATTGTGCCATTCGACAGGGGGTTCCTATATCTGTTTGCCGAGTGAATCTAATGGCCCAAACTTGTTAGACGAACCTTTGAAAGGTTTCATAGTGAACCCTGCTGACCTTCCTTGGTAGTGGGTCAAGAGGTTGGCCGCCTCGGGCGAAAGGGTAAATCACGACTCACAGTGAAAGTGTACAACCTCTGTAGAGTGTAAAACTGGTATATCAGCCGTGCTCATGGTCACGAGCGGCCTTGAAACATTTACAGAATAGATGATAAACAAAGATTATACTGATGATAAAGATGCTCACTAATGATTACTGTTTATGCTATTCATTATTCATGCTTACCTGATCATGTGTTTATGTGGGCTTGTGATAAGCTTGTTGCTACTCCTATGCTAAAATTGTGAGAATTAAAAGCTAATCGCAGTTAAACCAGCATCAGCCTTTTGAGCCTCATGAACCTGATATTATATTTGTTGAGTATGACATGTACTTACGCTTGCTTTACTTTTTAAATCTCTAGAAAAATCCCGGATGGGTACCAAATTGCTAGAGTTTGGAGAAATTAGGCTTGTGATCAACCAGTCCATTGTCCCTATGGAATTGGAGTCTTCACCTGAAGATCGGAGTTGTCTTTCCGCTGTTTGCTATCCAAGGTTATATTCTTTATACTAAGTACGTTATATATTGAGCATTGTCTATTGATATTATCCTTATTTGTAGCTCTATGTGATATTTGACTTTCTAGGCTTACATATGGTGTGTATCTGGTTTTATTCTTAAAACCGGGTGATACAACTAAACCTTATGATAAATTTTAATTTAATGAAAAATTTTATTTTTCTATATTTTATTAGCACAAAATTCAGAAATAAATCATTTTAAACCTATTTTCAAAAGAGGCAAATTTTAGGGTGTTACAGCCAGCTTGTGGGCTGCGCTTGACACATTCATGGTTCTTCAAGCCTCAGGATGTTGGTAGCAGCAACCTGTGTGCAGTGCTGTGCTCGGTGGTTTGGGATAAGCATTTGGGTCCAAAAAGGTGACATTTGAGTTCCTAATGTCTCCCAGTTCCAATACATCGAGTAAGCTAGCTTCAATGTTGGCATGGACGCGACTATATACGCAGGTTGCAGCTTAGGAGTCTGGTGCAATTAATCAATAGAAGCAACATGGGGGAATAACAGTGTGAATGTATTGTCTACAGTTGTTCACCTATATATCTACTATATAGGGCATTTGGTGTGTACCATCAAGCACCGTAAGGGTATTTGTTCTTGTGCAATATATGGACCAACTTTGATCGGCCTTGTTGTACCTCACTTATTTAATTGTTGTTTACACATATATGTATTAGTTGCGATGGCATTCTTGTGCTCTGAGAGGCCTGAATATCGGTTCAATAGCAGTTTTTTTATTGACTTCAGTAAAAACGGTGATCTGGTTGAAATGAAAATGTATGGGATCTGTACTACAATGAAATCATAACACACAGCTAGCCAGATGAGCAAGGAAATTAATTAGTAGTCATTAAAGAAAAGACGATTGTGAAACAACAATGCATACCACTATTAAATGTAATAATGGTGTAGTCATAATTAAACATGTTAGGGAGTGGAAATACTACAATACTAATCACACCAATGGCTCTATAATCAATGGACAAGTACTGTAGATTGCTTTCTCCAGATGCAACAGACATGTGGTGTAGAGAAAAGGTTATAGTGTAGCTATTAATAGGGTGTAATAAAACAATTAATGTTATTAAGTATATTGTTAAAATTTAAATTCTTTGTCTAATCTCAACACAATTCTTGGTGCCGACACTCCCAACTCAGAGGTTGTGTAAGTACCTCCTAAGGGCTTGTTTGGCCGCATTCCAACTCATCCCAATCCAGATGACTCAGTTTTACAACTCAATCTCTTCAAATCCGTGTGGATTGTGTGATCTGGAATGCAGCCAAATGAAGCTTAAACATACGGTTTACTACTGCCTAAGAGGGCCTATGCGATAGCCGCATACGTCCTATCATGAAGCACAGGAACAAAAGCGTAATTGCTCAATTCAAGGACCCAGAAAAGAGGATCTAAACATAAAACGACTATGGGCAAGAAGACGAGGTTCTGGTGAGAGGAGGTAATCGAGGTTAGCCTTGCTCTGATTTTGTGTCCATCCAAAGCCATTTTGCGTGTTTGGGTCCCTAATCCCATCTCTGCTGTTGAGTTCCTCTGCAAGAACCTCGGTGTCACATGGTGCGGCAGCTAGCTGGATGGCTCGCCGTCCACCTATCAGCTCGATGGCTGCTTTGGCCTTGCTGACGTGCTGTTCGCTGTCACCACGCTCCAAGCCCGAGCAAGTGTGCTATGACGGTCCGGGCTAGGATGTGACATTTGAGTTTCCAATGTCTCCCATTTCCATGACAATCGAGAGTAAGCTAGTTTAGAAATTACAAATGGTATACAACAATGCTATGGTAGTGTCCGCGAGTGTTTACCTACTACTTGGTGTGTATCAAATACCCAAGAATGTCCTAGTACTGCAAGTGTGATTATATTATCCCTTTGTATATGGACCTTCCTCTGGTCAGTTCGTGTACATGTATTCGGCAAGAACGCACTTGGTGTTGTGCTCAGGGAGGTCTTGAATTTGTTCAGATCAATTGTCATTGATTTCACGTGAAAGTATGATCTGGTTGCAGTGCAAATATTTCATGTAGTTCTATACATAACCTATAGTGAGAACTGCCCCAATCAATGAGCCAATTAGCTAGCTACTGCTCTGCCTAGTGTGAGAAAATTTGAAGGTCCGATCCCCAGCATTCTTTTAATACTAATTGATACTCCCTACAATACTTGTCCGACACCATGTGCATAGACTAACGAAGAAAGGGTCCTTATGAAACGTGCATTCCCCATCAAATGAACAAGTGTGCCCTACAAGAAAAGTAAAGGCACTCTCCTCTTCAGCTGGCAGTCCGTGTCTTCCTGCTGCCCCTGGTGTCATATTTCTAGCAATTGCAAGCCCTATGGCTGTTGAGAGCATCAGCCTCAAATACCGGACACATTGAGCTAACAAGACACGGATGCAAATTTGGAAACTAGATAGATGAAAAAACTTTTTTTACTGGTAATAGGAAATTAACCAGAATAATCTATAACAAGAGTATATAGATACATAATAACAATGTGGGTATTGGGTTAGAAAATAAAAGATAAGGGACAAATTATAACAAAGATTAGAAATTGCAACATTTAATTTGGCGGGGGTTGCATAATTGTAATTAAGACCCCTATAAAACTTGACAATGGTATAAAGATCGGGGTCCTAACTTTTGGAACCAACCCCAACACTAGTGCAGCATGGTTTGGCCCATCCACAAAGCATGGCTTATCTAAAATGTCAGTTCTCACCAAAGTCACTTTATTTCGGGTAAGAAAGATTGAGAGTGAAAGCTACTGTATGTTTTGGGTTATATGCACCAGGTAGCTAGAAAGATGGAGATATTTATCTTCACAATGTATACCTTGCCTGATCTTCTCTGGACACGTGTTTTTTGCATTGGATCCAATGCAACGAGGACATCTCTTTCGAACTCTTACATTCATTAAGCATGGTATGGTCTGTGACCAGCCAAATGCTCTCCACTGGGACTAACTCAAGTCCAGTGAGTGCAGTAGCGTGTTACACCATGACATAACCACATTTTCCCACTATGATCTTCAGGGTATATATATCTCCTGATCTTTTTTTTTTCATCTCCACTATCAACAATCATATGGTAAGGCTACAAATTATCTGGTGACGTTTCTATTATTACTCACTACCGGAATGCCCAGGTTTGCCGTGTGCCCACGGCACACGGCGAAGGCAAAAAAACACTCAGCAAAGCCTTTGCCGAGTGTTGCACTCGGCAAACGGCACTCGGCAAACACAGATTCGGCAAAGCTGTCTTTGCCTAGTGTTTTTTGTCGAGCACTTGGCAAAGACGTTGCCGAGTGCTAAAACCGACAATCGGCAAAAAAAATCGAAAAATATTAAAAAAAAGCCTCCCACCCCGCACGCGCCTCGTCCGTGCCGCCGCCGCCACCACGCCGCCCGCTGCCACCATCGTCCACGGACAGGCCACCGCTGCCACCATTGTCCAGCAGCCGTGCAGCACAGAACCAATTAATCTCAAAACCATCGGAATCACAAGACAAAGCGAATATAGCATCGCTACTGAAGCAGGCACCTGCAGCTACACCTTCTTCTGGAACTGGATGCTCACCAGGTGTGGCTGTGCCCCATCAGACCTGAGACCAAAATCGCAAAACCCGAATCACCAACTCTGACCTTCTAGCTTCAACTAATAATTCAACAAAGGAACAAAAAAAAAATCGGTGATGAGTGGTCGCCACTGACTGCCAGTAGGTGTCGAGGTTGTCGTCGTGCAGGGCCGCGACGCCGTTGCCAGCCTTGCAAGAACTGACGCTCCACGCGGCCGTCTTCGCCATCTCCCGCATGTCTGCATCCAGTGTCAGCTCCGGGCTCCCCTTCAGCCTCCCAGTGCCTGGTGCCCCCGCCGCCGCCGAGGTCGCCGCCGCCTCCTCCTCGGCGTCGGATTCCATCGGACTAGTGCGAGGGGAAGAGTTGGGGGAAATTTTGGATGCCTTGATGAGCAGTTGCACAGGCAAGGAAAGCAGGCCAGAAGCAGGAGAGGAGTGCCATCTTTCCCTGTGTGTGTGTTCTCTGGAAGAGATAAGGGAGAGAGAGAAAGGGAGGGGAGGGGGCGGCAGCGGATATATTAGTTATTTTTGCCGAGCGTCAGATCACGGCACTCGGCAAATTTATCTTTGCCGAGTGTTTAGGGTTTTGGACACTCGGCAAATATATTAGTTATTTTTTTATTTCCTTGTTTTCCGTAACATGTTTTTCTTTTTTTGTTCGATGTACTTTGAAAATACCTTGTCAAATATACTCAATAATATATATATGATTTGTCATCTCCTATACAGGGCTCCGGCCAACGCTGGTGTCTCTGCTGTGTGTGTATGCTCTGTTCTCCCTCCTTTCTTCTACCTCTAGCCACAGTGTGTGGTCGGACAATGATAGTCATGGTCGGCAAGACTAGTGAGTGGTCGACTCACCTGAGCTGTGGTCGGCAAGACTGGTGAGTGGTCGACTCACCTGAGCCGGTGATCCTCTGTGGGCCAACAAGTGGTATCAGAGCGGTACAAACGCCATCGTCGGACTAACCGCTGGCGATGACGCACGGTTTGGAGATGGGCGACAACAGTGGCACTGTGGTGGCTGCCCAGCCACGACAAGAGGTCGTTGTTCGCACGGTACGGGAAGTCAGCGGCACCAGTTGGCCGACGCTGACTCGCACCAACTATGGAGAGTGGTCGGTGACCATGAAGGTCAAGCTCAGAGCCCGACGGCTCTGGAATGCTGTTGACAAGGGCACCAACAATGAAGAAGATGACATGTCAGTGTTAGAGGCTATCATCGCTGCTGTACCGGCGGAGTACAGGGAGCCATTGGGGGCGAAGAGCTCTGCTAAGGAGGCTATTGCGGCAATGCGCGTCGGTTCTGACCACGCAAAGAAGGCAACAACCCAGCTTCTAAAGCAGGAGTATGCCAACCTCAAGTTCAAGGATGGTGAATCGGTGGAGGACTTCTCCCTCCGCCTACAGACGCTCATCAGCAAGCTGAAGAGCCACGGCATCACCATCGACGAAGAGGAGGCGATCTCCAAGTATCTCCACTTCGTGCCGGCAAAGTACATCCAGATCGCTCTCTCCATAGAGACGATGCTGGACTTGTCCACCTTCACCATTGAGGATGTGACAGGCCGTCTGCGGGCGGTGGATGAGCGCCTGGAGCAGGCGACAACACCGAAGGACAGCGGCAAACTGCTGCTGACAGAGGAGGAGTGGGATGCTCAGAGGAACTCTGGGGTAGCCTCCTCCAGCCGCGGTGGCGATGGCAAGCGCCGCGGCAAGGCTTCTTTAGAGAGGAAGAAGCAGGTCGACCCCAATATCTGCCGGCGCTACGGGAAGATGGGCCATTGGGCACGGGAGTGCCCAAATCGCAAGGAAGAAAAGAAGGCTCAGGCTCATCTGGCGTAAGCTGATGATGAGGATGAGACCACTATCCTAATGGCGACGTTCTGTTCACTGCACGATGTTGAGGTCGAGGAGAAGGAAGAGGTGATGGTGGTGGAAGGACCTGGGAAGGCCCTGAAGGCTGTCGACCTTGATGAACCGCACGCCCAAGTCCTCCTCGGACAAGTGGGCGGCGAGCAGGAGCAGCGGTGGTATCTGGACTCTGGCGCCAGCAACCACATGACGGGCTCCAAGGCAGCCTTCTCCAAGCTCAACGATGATGTTACTGGTATGGTGAAGGTCGGTGACGACTCAAGGGTGGAAATCCGAGGGCGTGGCACCATCATCTTCAGGTGCCAGAACGGGGAGCACCATGCGCTAACAGATGTATATTACATCCCGCAGCTGCGTTCAAGCATCATCAACATTGGCTAGCTTGATGAGCGCGGTAGCGAGGTACTGATCAAGGACAGAGTCCTTAGGATCAGGGACTAGGAGCAGCGACTTATCGCCAAGGTGAAGAGGTCCCAGAACTGGTTGTACCTGCTCGACTTAAAGGTGGAGCAGCCGGTGTGCCTGGCGGTAAGGCACACCGAGGAGCCGTGGCTGTGGCATGCTCGGTTCGGACATCTCAGCTTTGACGCGCTTGGTCAGCTGGAGAAGATGGTCCAAGGGCTACCCCACACCGAGCACGGAGGCGAGCTGTGTGATAGCTGCCTGGTCGGGAAGCAGAGGAGGCTGTCGTTCCCAAAGGCGGCTATGTATAGTGCAGTGGATGGTCTCGAGCTCATCCACGACAATGTCTGTGGGCCGATCACGCCAGCCACAAATGGTGGTCGGCGGTACTTCCTCCTGCTCATGGATGATTGCAGTCGCTACATGTGGCTGCAACTCCTGACAAGCAAGGACGAAGCGGCGGCGGCGATCAAGAAGTTCAAGATGCACGTGGAGGCCGAGAGCGGCAAGAAGCTCCATGTGCTGAGGACTGATCGTGGCGGCGAATTCACTTCGGTGGAGTTTGCTGCGTACTGCGTAGATTAGGGTGTGGTGCGACACCACACCGTGCCATACCCGCCACAAAAGAATGGCGTGGTGGAGTGATGGAACCAGACGGTGGTCGGCATGGCTCGATCTATGATGAAGGCCAAAGGAATGCCGACAAGGTTCTAGGGTGAGGCGGTGACCACGCAGTGTTCATCCTCAACCGCGCTCCCACCAAGGCCCTGAAGGGCAAGATGTCGTTCAAAGCTTTGTATGGACGTAAGCCGAGCGTGTCCTTCCTCCAGACATTCGGCTGCATCGGCCACGTCAGGAAGACGAAGCCGATCCTCACCAAGCTGGAGGACAGGAGCACACCGATGGTGTTTCTGGGCTACGTGGAGGGTACCAAGGCGTACCGGCTCTACGACCCACGCGGAGACAAGGTGCTTGTCTCGCGCGATGTCGTGTTCGACGAGAAGGCAGCTTAGGACTAGAATAGTCCGAGCACGGGGGAAGCTGGCGGCTTCACCAACACCTTTGTTGTCGAGCACTTGGTCATTCACGGTGGTGGAGACGCTGGAGAAGAGGTGCCGAGCACTCCGAGAGGGGTGTCGAGCACTCCAGTGACAGAGTCGAGCACTCCGGGAGGGATGCCGAGCACTCCGGGAGGGGTGCCGAGCACCCTAGGAGCGGAGCTGGGAGGTCCTACAGTGGTGGCAACCACTCCAAGACTGAGGCTAAGCACTCCTACAGTGGTGTTGAGCACTGCAGGAGTTGTGACGAGCGATCCAAGAGTAGTGCTGAGCACTGCATCCGGGGTGCCGAGCACTCCAGGTGCTATGCTGAGCACTCAGGCGGAATAGGGAACTCCATCGATGCCGATCGAGTTCGCCTCACCTCCGAGTGACATCTCTGAGTTCGTGGATGCCTTCCACGAAGGTGAGGAGGTGCGGTTCCGCAGGTTGGATGACCTCGTCGGCGGCACAGGGCCCTCAGGCCTGGCGGGTAGGTTGCTCAATGACCCTAAGCTGCTTCTTGTCAGTGCTAAGGAACCACCCACGTTCACGGTAGCCGAGAGCGATGGAAACTAGCGGTGGACGATGCTGGAGGAGATGAAGGCGATCGAGAAAAACGAGACGTGGCAGTTCATCGATCCATCTCCAGGATGCCGTCCGATCAGCCTGAAGTGGGTGTACAAAGTCAAGCGGGACGAGCACGATACCATTGCAAGCACAAGGCGTGCCTCATCGCCCGAGGTTTTGTCCAGCGCGAGGGCATCGACTTCGAGGAAGTCTTTGCGTCGGTAGCACGCATAGAGTCTGTTTGTTTTCTACTGGATTTGGTAGCAGCAAAGGACTGGCGCGTCCATCACCTAGATGTTAAATCGACCTTCCTCAATGGCGAGCTGGCGGAGACGGTCTTCGTCAGACAACCTCTGGGTTTCGCCATCAAGGGAGCAGAGCACAGGGTGCTCTGACTGCGCAAGGCGCTCTATGGGCTATGGTAGGCCCCACGAGCGTGGAACGCCAAGCTTGACACCACGTTGGGCGAGCTTGGGTTCATACGGTGCGCAACCAAGCACGCGCTCTACACGCGGCGACGGGGGAAGGAAGAGCTCATTATCGGCGTGTATGTGGACGACTTGATCATCACCGGCGCGCATGCGGAGGACATCGACAGCTTCAAGCGCGAGATGGCAGCTCATTTTCAAATGAGCGATCTCGGCGCGCTTTCCTACTACCTCGGCATCGAGGTAAGACAGGGGAAGGAGGTGCTCACGCTCGGTCAGAGCGCGTATGCCTCGAAGCTGTTGGAGCAGAGCGGCATGGCCGAGTGCAAGCCATGCGTCACTCCGATGGAGGAGCGGCTGAAGCTGACGAGGGCCAGTACTGCGGCGAAGGTAGATGCAACACTCTACCGGAGTATCATCGGCGGTCTACGCTACCTAGTCCACACGAGGCCGGACATTGTGTTCGCCGTGGGCTACATTAGTCTTTTCGTGGAGGATCCCAGAGAGGATCACTAGGCTGCGGTGAAGCGTACTGCGCTACATCAAGGGGACGGTGGATCAGGGGATCATCTTCCCCAAGACCGGCGAGAGTAGGCTGCAGCTCACTGTGTTCAGCGATGTAGACATGGCGGGGGACATCGATGGACGGTGGAGCACCTCTGGCGTGCTCGTCTTCCTTGGGTCGGCTCGAATCTCATGGCTGTTGCTGAAATAGAAGGTGGTGGTGCTATCTACGTGCGAGGCAGAGTACGTAGCAGCGGCCACAGCGGCATGCCAAGTGGTGTGGCTGCGTCGGCTGCTGGGCGAACTGACCGGTGCGGAAGCTCACCCATCAGCACTGATGGTGGACAACCAGTCCGCCATCGCCCTCGCGAAGAATCCGGTTCTCCACGACCGGAGCAAGCACATCGACGTGAAGTTCCAGTTCCTCAGGGACTGTGTCGATGGAGGGCAGATCGTCATCGAGTTCGTCGAAACTAGTCGGCAACTCGCGGACGTCCTTACCAAGCCGCTCGGCCGTCTTCGACTC